TGTTTCCGTTTTTGGGATCCGTGGGAATTATGTCCTAGTAACGATTCTCAACGTCATGCACTGCACATGTCCTCCTTTCCTTTCTCTTTCCCTCTCCATATTTCACCACATATCTCAAAGAACTAGACCATAACAATTCTGAGCAGAACTTTTATGAGGCCTGTCGTGTCATGGTTCATCTCGGTCAAGGACATCCTTTCACGACTTCTGCTCCCGCACCATAGCCGTAACGTATCCTGGTAACCAAACATTGATGCTATTTGAAGGACAAATACCGAGGAACTTTCAAGGTCTTCTCCCTTACACTACTTCCAAGTCACCATAGGAAACACATCCGCTTCATCGACACCCACAAGTTGTATATGCCTTCGCAAAAGGATGTTCAAGAACAGCACGTACCATGAGCCCCTTGTTAACTACACTGTAGACTAGCTCCTTAAAGTTAGGCGCAATCAACGAATTCATCGGGACCGAGGTCTCAAGTACATCAACGTGCATCAACGCCCACCATCACAAAACTGCGCACGCAGCGATAACAGCTGCAGAAGCAGTTGCCCGTTGGTCAGGTGAGTATTATTAGATATCATGCCAGAGAAGCTCACTTGAACTCGACTGACAGCTTTCTTACTGGAACTTCCCTAGAGAACACTCCTTTCACGATGCCCTAGGGTTTTCGAATCATCGTCCATTACTTATCGGCGTTTTAGGCCATTCTCAACCCCTATCCGTTTATCTCACTCCCTTCCGTCCTGTTCAACAATGTACGAAATGTTCTCGGATCCTTTCCCTCGAGCCCTATACTCCTTTCAATAACGAACATATTTTCAAGACGTAATTCTTCCACCCTCCAATTCGTACGTCGGTGAGATGGCCGAGCGGTCTAAGGCGCCAGACTAAGGTCCAGGATGATGAGTCGTTTAGCGAAACGACTTGAGGGCAATAAAAGCACGTAGCGACGTGCACCCTTCGAGTCCTAGGACTCACAATATTGATCTAGGTAAATTCAAAATTTACCGTCAACCAATCATTTGTTTGTCTTCGGCTCATGTTATGAATAGGCAAACGCGCCCCAGGGCAGGCGTCCCCAGGGCCGGGATGGATTACAAACGGGCATGCGAGCAACCGCTATGGAGCCTATGGAAGTATTGATGATAAAAGATGATGATGGGAGCGTGCCGTTGGTGAGAGAAGTTATTGGAGTAGGAGGGCAGTGAGGAAAGTGGGGTTCTTGCGGATGTAGATGTGAAAAGTCTCGGAGGCCCAACGACCAGTGGCACGAATGAGGTGAAGAGGGACACCAATTTCCGCCAGTCCAGTAGCACCGCCAGAACGGATAGACTGACCTGCGATGTCATGTCGGTTATATAAGCTCTTCAGCCTATCCATGAACCAAGACCGGGTGGGCATAGAACCATCTGCTCGCAGCCAAAGCTGCCAATGGGTGGGAAAACGGTTATCGCGAGATTTGATGTAATCAAGAAAAGGGTTGTATGGATCAATTTCGGTCGGGAAACGAGCATGACGACGGATAACCACTTTATTTCCTTCGAAGAAAGGATCTGCCTTGTGTTGGGGTAGATCAAAACCATACCCTTGTAGATACCACTTCACCGAATCACGTCTTGTCCGTTTTCGTAAGTTTTGGTGCTTCCTGACATCAGGAAGGCACAGCTCTGCAAGGCGAAGTAAACCAAACCAACCCGTCAGTAGCAAAGCAAGAAACAGTAGATCGTCATGATTGCGCCGATGACGGTAATGCTCCACTGCTAGAGCCAGATCGGAAATGGAAAGAGGGGATTTTCTTTTTGTGGCTTTGCTGTATAAACGGCGACATCCTCGAAGGGTTTTCCGTACCAAGCGATGGTTTCGGATTGCCCGAACATCATCATAAAAGTCCTCGAGCTGGTTGCAGATACCAGAGAGGTACTTCTCCACCGATTTCGGATCGACGCGGTGTACGTCATTGTTGCAAAGCCAAACAATATAAAAACTGAAAATATCGGGTGTAGGTTTATAGGGGAATTTGTGAACGTCGCAGAAATAAACGTAGGAGTTGAGAGCAGATGTGTATGAAGAATGTGTAGATGTATCAATGGCAGCGCCAACTGCAATAGAGCGTTCAAATTTTAAACGCTCCAGAGACCACGGCTTCCGAGGTGGTTGCCGAGATCCCTCTGATAATGTAGGGTTCATTTTTTTAGTGCCCCCAACGTCCTTCGAGGGGGTTTGACATAGGAAGATGGTTGGCAAAAGGAAGAACTGCGACCAAGCCCTGAACTCAGCGGCAAGGTAGCATCAAAGAAAAATCGAGGAAAAGAAGTATGACCAAGCCCTGAACTCAGCGGCAAGGTAGCATAGTAAAAGGATGCTTTGGAAAAAGAAAAAACACAATCAAGCCCTGAACTCAGCGGCAAGATAGTGAATGTTAAGAAAAATGAGATGAGAGAAAAATTACAACCAAGCCCTGAACTCAGCAACTCGGTTGTAGTTTCAGGAAAGAATAAAGAAATCGGAGCACTCAGCAACAGCTCAACCAGAAAGCACCATGACTCCACCCAAAATATTACCTCCCAATTAGTTCTTCTCGGTCTTCCCCTCTTTACACTCATGTGCACCATGTCCCTGTCGCCTACAGTTTGGTCTCGAGCAAACGTGTGCATAATGACAAGTCCCCACACAAATACCTTGATTAAACCGCTTGCATATTTCAACTCTAGGTCGTTTATCCCTCGAAGACGATGATGAAGAGGAAGTCGAAGCAAGCTGCGCGTTTTCGACCACAAATGCACCATAGGTTTCGATATGGGTGCGGAATGCGTTCCGAAAAGCATCATGATTGGTATCTGCGAGAGTGAGGTCACCGCGATTAGCAACCAGGTTACGAACGGCTTTGTCGTACGAGATGAGACGAGGATGGAGTGATGGGTCGATAGATAAAAAGAGGTCGCCCATGTGATTCTCGTAAGTAGCCAACTCCGAATCGCGATGAGGGAAGAGATGCAGAGTTGCACGCTTGAACAAACGAAACGCTTTGTTCCATTGTGCCTCGTTAGTGACTGTTTTCGTGACCTCGACATCCTTTTCCACTTTGATTTCAAATGCCCCCACCTTCTCTTTAAGTGACTTGGGAACAGCCGGAGAATGAATACTAGAGAGTACAGCGTCGAAATCGCAAACTTTGTTCTGGATAACGGCGTTCCATTCACTGTCGGGAAACTCCGGTCGACTGACCGATCCCTTAAGCAAATCTTTGAAAGTCTTCCCTCCTCGACGATAGTTCGCAGCAAGGGTGTGAGTGGTTCGAGCCCCGGAAGACATAGTCTCGAGAAGTATCTTGTCCTTTGCAACAAAAGGCACCAGGTCTTTATCGAACTTTGACCTTTTACCATTATCCTCGCTCTCATCGGATGAGGAAGACGAGGATGAAGAACTGTCCGAAGGGCTATTTCGACGGTGACGACGCCGTTTTTTATGGTGTGAGTGAGAACCACCATTATTACCCCTATTGCTATTACCACTTCGGCTTCCACCTCCACCATCAGCTCCAGCTTCGGGTCTTGTAGCAGTAGTAGTGCCGTCTCCAGATGTCTCACCCCTTCTAGCGGCGAGGTCACGCTCGGAGTCCAGGGAGTCAATCTGTGCGAGCCATGTTTTGATGGATGATTCATGTCCGCTTGGAGAACGGGGTAGACTGGTAAGGATGAGTACGACTCCTGTTTGGGCAGAAACTCGGTCGATTTTGTTATCGCGGTAGTCATTAATAACTTTTTGCAGCTTCTCGACCGTCTCGTTGTCGAAATTAACTCCAGGAGGAGGACCCTGCTCTTGTTGGTCGACCAAAGGATCATTCGGTACTCCAGTGTTCCCAGAATTGGTTGTAGGCTGAGTCGGGTTAGAGGTTCCCGAGGTAACGGTAGCGCTAGAGCCAGTAACAAGCTGAGAGAAACTTGGGCCCGAATTAGAGCTACCTCGTGGATTAACGGCTCCGTATGGTACGTAGGTATTTCCTGCATTCGAACCTGCAGTCGCGTTACCGTTGCCTGCAGCGGAGGCAGTAGTGCTTCGTTGTTCATCATTGTCTGGATTCTGAGACATTTATGATGAGCGCGCAGCTCCGGAAAATGTTGATGTATTCGAAGAATAAAAGATATAAGCGACGAAACACTGTGTATACAACGTTCAGTGAGCAAGAAGAGTTGAATAACGCATATAGAACATACCTGGGTACAGCGGGCAGTGAGCAAGAAGAGGAAAGACTCGATACTCATGACCGCTGTACCCACATGACCGGAGAATTCCGGTGTTATGCCGAGCGCGGCTAAGAATTTTGCACAGCGGTGCAGAGCATAAGTTGCGTGCGACGCAACTGAGTCGTTTAGCGAAACGACTTGAGGGCAATAAAAGCACGTAGCGACGTGCACCCTTCGAGTCCTAGGACTCACAATATTGATCTAGGTAAATTCAAAATTTACCGTCAATCTATCTGGTCCGAAAGGGCGTGGGTTCGAATCCCACTCTCATCATATGGACAGATTTCCAAACTTTTTGTACCTTTAATATCCTTTTACATCCCTACTAGACTTCCATGCAATTGTTGGGATTGGCGAGAGGCACTATGAGATGGGGAAGTTGGATATTTGGTTGTACTGCGCTGACAGAGGCAGAAAGAATCATTTGATCGAAGGAAAGAAAGACTGGGCTGAGAAGTGGAAGGTTATGCATGTGCTTACATTCCATGTCCTCATGGCCAAAGCAAAGAGTCCCAGCTATCCTCCACTTGTAACTTGAGCTGCATGGAAGTTCTTAGTCATTCAATTGTAGCTCTAAGGCTAAGCTCACTAGTGCTGACTTTACACCTAAAAACTTGATCCAGAAGCAGGGTGCAATGTACCATATGCAATGTTCTCAGGCTATCCTTTCCCTCGAGTCCCATAAGTACTCCTCTCAATAACAAACCTGTTTTCAAGACATGATTTTTTCCACCTTCTAAATCATACATTGGTGAGATGGCCGAGCGGTCTAAGGCGGCCAGACTAAAGGTCCAGGATGCATTTGTCATCCATTCTATCTGGTCCGAAAGGGCGTGGGTTCAAATCCCACTCTCATCAGTCCCCAGAACGTGCCGTCCTTTTTATTGTACCTTTAATATCTTTTTACATCCTTACTAGACTTCCATGCGATTGTTGGAATTGGTGAGAGGTACTATGAGGTGGGGGAGCTGAATATTTGATTGCACAGTTCTGAGCTGAAATTTGAATGAGGCAGAAAGAATCATTTTTGACCCTGATGGTTGAAGCAAAGGAAGAAGTAGACAGTCATGCCAAAGCAAGAGTCCTGGGTATCCTTCACTTGTAAATTGAGCTGCATGGAAATTCTTACTACTTAGTCATTAATTGTAGCTCACTAGTACCTACTGACTTTACACCTGAAAGCCTGGTCCAGAGCAGGTGCAGTGGTTGATTGGTTTTCTCAAAAAAACATTCTTACTTCCAGGTCATGTTTGACATTCTCTCTGCCCAAATAATCCTGGAGAGTGAGCAGGACAGTTGAAAGGATGACTACCCAAGTACTTAGTTCTCACCAAAACCTCATTTGGGCCAGTAAATTATTCACTACTATTTTCTATGGGGAAGTGGGTCAGCTTAAGGGTTTTTGGTCTACTGGAGATAAACTAGTACAAGTTCCCCCTCCTATTGTGAGTTATCATATCTTTAGTTCATCATCTTCAATGTGTACTGTAGGCATTTCAAGTCAGTTTAGAGGAACACTTAATATTTTCTTACTGCAACTCAATTTTGGGCTAAAGTTAGGAAATGGGTCAGCTAGTTGACTTGTTACATATATCTGTAAACTAATGAATTCACTTGGAGAGATATATCAAAACCTCACATCAGATACCAATAATCAGAGCAATGGACAGTGTAGGTAGGTAGGTAGATTAAGTAGATAGCTTCGCAACTTGCGGGGAAACTAAGGTTTAGCTGGCAACCCCTTTTTGGTGGAAGCAAACGCGTGGTAGAATGTCCAATCCAAAAGGAGTGAGGTACTACACTTGTACATGATGTAGGCATACTGTGATACAATGCCACAGTGAAATAGACATAGAAAAGATAACGAAAAAACACAATCGTAGAGGGAAAGTAAAAGTACAAAACAATCGACCATTATTCTCGTTCATCCTCATAGCACTCATTAATATGAGGGATTTGACAAGTAACCTTCCAAACAGTCAGGCACTCATGGACAAACTCTGCCATCACTGGTGCCATGAGAAAATCAGCGACTCAAGAAATTCAAAGACATGAGTTTCAGAGCGTTGCGCATCGGAATCCAGGACAGTAGGAACTCTCTATGTAGTACCACAATACCCGGTACACTTATACAGCTTAGCAGAACATGTCCCGTGTCTCAAAAACTTGCATAGACGGCACTGTTTCAAGTCCACGTTGTCCTCTTCAATGTAATGCCAGACAGGCGAGCAGCGGAAAATGAAGGGAGATACATTTCCATCCAGGAGAAAGGTCAGAGAACGGCAATGACGGTGATACTTGACACACATATGTAGTGCCGAAATCTCAGAACTGAGGAAGATGGCTTTTCGTCACTAGTATTCGGATCTTGGTTCTATCCTTCCACGAAGCAGAAATAGATGGTGAAATGAGTTAATTTCCGACAAGAGAAGCTCACTCGAAAGGCTCCGAATCTCTTTCAGCAGGCCATTTATAGTCAATGCGCGTATGTTGGTGCGCTGAGGCAGAAAAAGACCCCGAACTCGGAACCTCATTACCAGGCAGCTGGTGTATCATGAGATCGAAATCAAATACACATGAGGGAGAGCTATTCTCTCGAAGAATGAATAACGATTCCGCGGCTGTATGGGCGTAGTGACCACTGGGAGCTGAACAAGATATTTGAGGTATTATAAAACGAGTAACACACGACTCGAACGTGTTCGGATAGGACGAAGCCCAGTCTCTGTAAATAGTGGTGTGGCAATAGACTTGCTCGAGAGGCCGAGCATGTGTCATCGAGCTCTGCATCTTGCAAACCGAACGACCCAAATAAGAAGCATTTCGTCCTCCAGTGGCTGATCATTTTTGCATACCTGTTGCAACTGTCAATAGTAGCCAATGTTGGCAGCTGCACAAGATCATATACTACAGTTCTAGATGTCCCAGACATTCCCCGAATGTACCAAACCTGTAGAAAGTGGATGATGACCCACTTCCTGGTCTGGCCCACTTCCCAATAGGAAGGAAATACTGTACTATTTCGACCATTGTGTTCCGTAATACATAACACCCCCCTCTGGACACCCTCGATTTTTCAATTCGTAATGCATAACGGAGGGGTATGGACACCTTTTTTTATCTTTAATCGTATCGCACCCAAAGTAAGTATTTTGGCGCCTATTTTACATCACATAACGCATAACGCCAGTCTGGTCCCTGACCAAAGCTTTTGCGTAACGCTCAAAATCAATGAACAGATCTGACTCATCTGAGACTCGGTCGAAATATTACAGTAGTATAACTGAACCGTTATGTGTAAATTCACAAGACCCATAGATAGCGACTATCTCTGAGCGGTCTCTCTAACCTCTGCAAGCCTTTTTTTAAAAAAGAAACAAGTTTTCCTGACCTTTTACATGTTGCACTCAAAAAAAAAGGCCAGGTCCCCCGGTCCCCTAGCATATAGTATACAGAGAACATTCCGACGCTCCTGACACGGACTTCCTGGAAGATTCAACATTTTTCCCCTTCTAAAAGAAAGACAATACAGAACTGGTTAGTCCTACGGTATTGTATCGGCAATGATGCGATCCTTTTTCCATTTCCAAGACCATAAATGTTGAGATCAACTGTGATGTTTGCATTTACTTCTTAATTATCTTGAGTCAAATTGCTACTGATTGAGTCTTGCAATCTTACACGTATAGATAGTGTGAATGGTATTTACCATACTCTCAGAAGGGATATATTATCATACCAATCTCCAGCGCAGCCGTTATAGTGACGCAACACTTCTCATCTCACACCTATCATCAATAATACCCATTCCTTCCAGATACGCAAATACTGTTGATGGTGACCCACTCCTCTGTAACCAATATTGTATTTATGCACATACACACATTTCCACTACGTAACTTGTTAGTTCTCTCTAAATACTATCTTCTATCGTCTACTATCCGATCTCCGTTCCATTTTTCCCCCGGAGGCTTCTCTAGGATCCCCACACAACCCTTCGTTTCACATCCATTCTATCACATCATCTAGCTATATAAGTACAAAGCTCCAGGTCTCAATTCTTCGGAGCTTTGGCTGAAAGTCCGAGTCGAAGCGAAGCTCTACTAACAACCACCTTTATTTGCTCCTCTAAGCCACACACCAACGGGATCCTGGATGGCAAGCAAAGTTCAGCTTGCTCCCTGGTGACCACTGGTTCTTCATAAGACCATGATCACTTTCGTCTGGGTAATGATAGTTTTCTTGGATGAGGTCCGAATCGGAGACCTGAAAATGATGTATTAATCGTCTTCTATTCTTCTAAAAGTCCCAGTAAGTTTCCGAGACAGTAAGTATGGTCTAATTCATGGTTCTAGTGATCACTCGCTATACGACCGTAACGACTTCCGGTCTGAACAGTCCGAGGTATCAATAGTTTTCTCACCTTGTAACTCGTAAACGATAAAATATCAACGATAAACCGGTGATCATTCTAGAAAGATGTCTGATAACTAAGAAGGAATATGTTGAACATGCTACACTCATGATCAAAGACATGAATCTACAGTCTACTGAATACGTGGTAGATCATGCGGTAGGTCACCGGGAGTTCGAGTCGGATTCGGACTTCAAGGGCTTAAATGCTTGAGGGCTTGTAACTATGGAATTCTATTGAACATTCGAACATCGAACGATCGATGTTGATCAAAAACCATAACCAAAATTTCGGTATGTCATGTATGCATGGCTCCCGACGAGGATGCGTTCCGGCGTTCGTTCATCGCATCGGCGGACGCACATCGTTTGGTAGTATGCACGAAGCATCATGCAATACTCTGGACTCAGACTTGTGAGAAGCTTTTTTTGATTAAGATAATAGTTTAGCCATAGTTTCATTGGTTGAAATGAGGATTGACTCGGATTGTTCGACCAGTACTACTGAACTTTTGAAACCGTAGCAGTAACAAGGCTAGCCGTTAGGCCTTAGGATCCCACCATCTAAAAGTCAATTCTACTAATCCACGCATTTGATTTTCAAAGGGTAGATAAGGAGACTGTCATATGTTCTCCCATCAATTTGATCATCTATATGAATCATTCCATGTATAGTGAGATCATACGTAGGTACATTGTTGCCAACACACCTTGGTCCCGAGGACCTCTCGGCCTCCGAGAGTACTGTGATAAGTCTCACGACTTAATTTTAGTGGAATTAAAGTTTCCCAGCGCATGGACGAACGGGTTGACGTTGTTGTGTATTCTATCATGTTGAATGATGTATGCAGGGGATTCTATAACACTAGCTTTTTTCTCTCATTAAGACTACTTGATATACTATCTCAGTGTAGTGAGTGCTGTGCTGCGGATTACTACTGGCTTATTCTTCATACTCATTGGCCATGGCAGCTGGTGTCTGATTCATGATTCATCTCCGTCATGGCCGAGAATTATATGTTACCCTTCTTTCTTTAAAAACCTCGACTTTGCGACTCCCGAGAGTTTTACATGATACGGGGCCCTTGAGACTCTAATATATCTATACTGGGATTAGTAGAATTACATTGCTTTTCCCAAAATGTTCTATTCGAGATTCTTAGATACTTTCATGGCACGATGGCGTTGAATTCTTTCATGATCACTGAAGACATGTAAGTAAGTGCGCCAAGCTCTAGGACTTTTAAGTCCAAGTACTCTCACGTACTTACTCAATAATGTTGCAATGCTGTTGTCATATCGTAGTTTCTTCGGTCTCAGCCGCGCCTCAACATTATCAGTACGTATACCCGGTCAAAGGCAGCCAAAAGTATGCTATAATTTCACCGTTCAAATCATTTGAGTGTTGGTAATTGCCAGTTAATCAAATTTACGAGTCATCGATT